CTATGAAATCAACAGATGAGGTAAAGGTGTATGACAACTGTTTCATTTCATGAGGTTAGCAAAAAGTAAGAGAAAGGAAGTTCAGATAACTGTAGAAAAATGTAGTTACTTGTTTTTGGAATCGTAAAAACACCTACTTGGAATGAGAAAGTTTGGCAAAAGCTATTCATTGAAGAGTGCTAGGCTGTAGAGGTTCTACGGTTCTATGCAAAGTGTCTCAAAGTCAGAGAATATAAACGGAAAGTGAACTAGTTGATGTGCATTCGTGCAAACAGTCTGAATTAATCTAAAGTTTAATGATCAATGAAAAAGATTATTGACTGAACCGTTTAAGAGATGGTGATGTATGTTGTTTATGATTATGTGTTAATGTTTTGAAGTTGCCAAGAGTATGTGGTTTGTCACGGTAATTTATCAGTTCTAAAGATTGAAAAAGTAAGTTGATACAATCTAAAATGATAGGTAATGAATATCTGGAGTTTGTAAGGTTTCATAACCTAAACAAAATATTTTTGAAACTAAATTTCTTGATACTGAAAGTCATAACAGATACAACTGAAAGATAAATGATAATGATTTAAATGGAGTGTTTTTATGTTGTAAGTAGTGCTGATATGTGTTTACATGAGAAAGAAAATGAGTAATGTTTTTTTTTTGTTTTAGTGTTTGCTGTTGAAAGACAGAATACTGTAGTATTATGGTGACATTAACCTAACCAGGTTACAGCAGAATACCCTCAGTCACGGCCACAAGTGATCACTATGGAAGCGACACCTACACTCAGACCCCTGAACCATTAATTGTTTTACGATCGCCTTGTTCTTTTTGTTGTTATGCCAAACACTGAATAAATAGAGGCGCGAGCCTTCGACTCGTCGCCATTTACCACTCATGCGATCTGTTGTGGCTCTCCCAAAACCCCCAATACTACATTGGTGGCAGCGGTAAAGGACGGAGGAAGGGTTAGAATAGTCTCCAGAAGCCTACTAGAGCACGCTGTGAGAGTTAGGGAACCGAAGCAGGCTATCTATAGGCCGCCGAGGTAGCCGAAGCAGGCCGACTATAGGCCGCCTAGGCAGTTTTAGAGGTTAGGATAGTCAGGGAATTCGCCGAAGCAGGCTGACTATAGGCCGCAGAGGTTACCAAAGCAGGCTAACTATAGGCCGCCGAGGTTAGATAGACGCATCTGAATTAAACACCGAAGCAGGCTGACTATAGGCCGCCGAGGTATTTTAAGGTTAAAAGGGAAGTCCTGAGAGGTTAAGGTACCGTGAAGGAAGGCATGTTGAGACGAGTTGCTCGACAAGCGCACCTAACGGAAATCCAAGACCTGACCATAAAGGTCGAAATTGACAAGGAGAACCTAGATCCTGATTGGACAAGCAGAACATCGCCATGGACGGAGTGGAGATCCATGCAGACACGGACACGGACCTCGCAGCCAGCGAGTCCGAGGCAGAACAGGGCGCTCAAGCCGTACAACCCGAGGTTGTCAACATGGTCAACGTCCACAACGCGCCCGACATGTTCATGGAAGGATTTAGAGGAAGAGGAAGAGGTGGACGTCGAGGCCGTGGAGGACGAGGACGAGGACGTGGCCGTGGACGAGGCCGCGGGCAACACCGACGAATTATGGAATTCGTTATCGAGGAAGGTGAAGGTCCTCAACGTGCACAACAGCAGCGACGAGGAGACCGAGAACGACGACCACCCAGACGTTTTCGTGAAGAGGGACAGGAGAGAGAAGCACTACAAGGTGCGGGGCCAGCGCCGCAAGGCCAGCAAGAAATAAACCCTGAGCATGAGGACGCCGGAGTGCACCAAGGCGCCGCCGCGCACCAGGGGCAACAAGTCCAAGAAGAGGACTTTGAGGATGAGTACGAGCAGGATGAACTCCAGGGCCCAGACCGAGACTACGGGAGACCTCGCCGCCGGTGGGCACCGTACCATTTGGAGCGGCCAGAGAGGGAACACCATCACCGTGGTCCAAGGCACGCTCGAGCAGGACGGAGGAGATACTGGGCCGGAGCTCACGGACAGTACGAAGATGCCGAGGAAGACGCTGATGATGAGCAAGAGCACGAGTTGTGTCCTTTGGAGCCGAAGGCCCATCTACGACTCTGCCTTTTGCCCGACTCGGGTGTCAGCGCCGCAGGCCTTGGTAGATGTATGCCAGGCGCGTCGCAGCGCAACAGTGTTTCGTGAGATATCGCGAAGCCTGTTACGCGAGACGTGGTCTGGCGTACATCTACCTAGTACTCCAGTGGTGATCAAAAAGTTTCGTGTCTGTCTGTGTGTGTGTCTGTCTGTCTGTTTGTCTGTAAACACGATATAGTCCGGCCAGCCAAAGGTGACGCCTGGGTTTGCTGTAGCCGCCCATAAGAGCCCATGCTACGCCAGGCGTCACCTTTGGCTGGCCGAACTATAACTCGAGAACGGGTTAAGCTAGGTATCTGACATTTATAGCGTAGCTTTGTAGCATAAAAAGCAAGAACTGTATTGATTTTGAGCCCTCTAGCTTAAAAATTGACCTGTCAAAAAAAAACAAAAACGAAAACTCCAAAATTTTACTTCTAATTTTTTAATTTGTTTACATCTTCCTAAGAAGTAACTCGTCAAAGTAGAGTGCTTCGGGTCAAAATTTCGTCCGTTTTGCTCCATCTCTAACCGTTTAGTCGCCAGGGGGCGATATCCACACGAAAATGACCCTAAACCATTTTAATGTTGTTTCTCAGATATTTGATGGTCCCTGGTGGGGCAACTCGTCAAAATAAAATCCTGGGGGTAAAAGTTGTGTCCTTTGGAGCCGAAGGCCTATCACCACCGTCTCTGCCTTTTGCCCGA